GGCGATCTACGTGACGGTCACGGTAGGGTGTGAGCCACCCGCGCAGTCTCTCCAGTCTCTGAGACCGCGCGTAGCCAACTTTGTGACTCGAAATCCATTTTGCCGCAGAGGTTACGCAATCTGCTTGTGACTATGAGCATGAGCAAGGACCCGATCGGTGTACCCATTTCGCAAACCAATACACAGGGTCCCGTTGGGAGGACGGTAAATAGGGATTTTGAGGGTTGCAGAAATAATTACTAGTAGGAAACTTTACGAATAAAGCTAAGAAAAGTCATACATACGAAGAAGTTTCTTTTAGCATAGTAATTCAGTTAACGAAGCAGTGCGCAATTCGAAAACGGGCGTGTTGTAGCAAACTGGTAAATAACAGAAGGGAAAAACGCCTAACGCTAGCGACCACAAAGTGATTAATCTCACGAAACTGTAACTAATCGACCGTGATTATTATTCCTATTAAGTGTTCATCAACTGAATTGTCAAATTATGGAAGTATAGAATATGTAAACAATGGTTATTGAAACACTAACCCTAAACCAAGTCCTAAAATTATCTCTTAAACTATTTCTAGCCTCAAAATTAACCCTATTTCATAAACCAACCCGATACTTAAGTATAGCCCTCAATCCGTAGCTAACCCTAATCCAAAAACTTGTTTCAACCCTAGCCTTAAAACTAACCCCAAACCGAACCCCCAGCTCCACTGATTGCAATTAAGCCCGCCATTTACCCGAATCCTAATTGAGCGAGATCCAACTCAAACAGCAGCCTTAGAAAATTCTGAACCGTGGTTGATCTTAACGAAACACGTCTGTGTCTATAGCAGTTAGGAAAAACAAAACGTAACTGGTGGAACAGGAATTGCGCTCTATAAGCAGCAACATCAGTAATAAGACGCGCAAGGATTGTTGTACCTCTAGAATGTGGTGGCTATGCAACCGTACAAATGCCAAAATTAGAAGTGTCTGCGTATGGCGGACGTTTTAAACCGAGCCACCATTTTTCTACCTTCCATTCTCATGTAAATTTCTTAAATATAAGTCAGCTGGCCTAGGTCATCCATATTAAACCGATTTTTACTTCGCTTTGTTTATTTAAACTACAGTAATGAGGCCATTAGCGCACGATGCTAGGACCATTTTGAAGGAAGTCCAATTTAACCTAAATTTTGCGAATTATTCACGGACGATTCGTCATGATATTAACCATTGCAGTCGTTGGCCATCGTGTATTGTTTATAATCTCCCGGTGTTATTTGGTGTGTGTGCA